TACTCAGCCATACCATTTTAAAGACAACTTTTCAACACATCTGTCCACAGTTAACCAGTGAGAATACCTGTGTTGTAGGGCTGAGTGTAATACTGAAAATGTGACTCTCTGGTCATCTCCATGAACTGCTCTTTGGTAATGCTGTCCCAGACTCTTTATTTCCCCTTGTCAGATTTATTTAAATCATCTGTTTAGAAGGTCATCTTTGGACTTATTAACCACTGTTTCCTGTCTTCCTGGACTTCCTAAGGATATTGAATGAGTATAACAAAAAGGAATGTTCATAAAAGGTATTATGGTTTGGAAGTGAAGTATCTTCCCAGAAGTTCATGTATTAAAAGGCTGATTGGTCACAGTGGGTGGCATCTTGGAGAGGTGATTGGGATTCTGGGGGTGATAGCGTTGCGAATGGTCTAATCCATTGGTGAATTCATAGCTGAGTGGGCTGTTGGGGGTGAAACCTTGTTGAAGGAAATAGTTCAATGGGTGCATGCTTTTGAAGAATATGTGACTCTGGTCCCTTCCTGTCTCCGTTTACTGTCAGTCATGAGGTGATTAGCTTTGTTCTGCCACCCATTCCACACCATGATATTCTGTCTCACCTTAGGCCCCTAAATCAATGGAACTTGATAACTGCGGCCTGAACTCTCTGACACCAGCAGCTAAAATACATTGTTCCTTCTTCCAAGTTGCTTTCTTAGGTATTTTGCCACAGCAACAAGTGTCTAACACAGAAAATAATTGGTACCAAGAGACAAAATCATTACTGTAACTGTTTCTGATCATGTGGTTTGGAAGGTTTTTGGGCCTGATGTGTGAGAGGAGTTTGGAAAAGTCTAGAGAAGCAGGCTAGAGAAGCCCTAGAATTTTGCAAGTGGTTTAATAGGTGATTATGGGAGGAGCTCAGAAGAACTTGAAAGCTGATTGGAATGCAGACATTACCACTGTGCTCATGAGATTTCAGATTAGAATAAGGGCTCTACTGGGAACTGGACTAGAGGACACTGTGTTTACAGTGTAGCTAATTACTTGTCTATACTTTGTGTATTCCTGGGAACTTTGTGAGATGCCAAGTTTATAGGTGATGAACTAGTGTATCTGGCAGGGGAATTTCAAGGCATTCCGGCATTGAGCATGGATGGGGCCTGCTGGCTACTTTTATCTAGTTTCAAAGTGAGAACTAGAAGAAAAAAAAAGCAAAATACAAAGATTTGAAAAACTTGGTTTGGTCGGAAAGTCATGTAACATTGGGGCTAAGGAAGGTATGTTTTCTGAAGAGATTACTATCATTAAAAAGAAAAGAAATCGAGTGGTCTGGAGATGCAGCACAGTGAGAGCCCTTGCCTAGCATGCAAAAGGCCTTGTGGTCTACCGTCAACATCACAGGAAAAAGTCTTGAAAGAAATGGGAAAAAAGTACATTGCACGGACAACAGGGATGATGTCTTGAAGGCAGCTCAGGAACTGCTGAAACCTCTCTACCACAGGCTTGTGAGGGGAAGTATAAACTCCTTTGAAAGAATTTCTTCTGAGGGGAGAACACTGCCTGGAAACCTGCTTCTCAGGGCTTACTGCAAAGTTGTTCCACCAGAATTCATTTCACAGCACTCAGCCTCTCAAACACATAAAGGCCACGAGGACTCTGGTTCAAGTTCAGGCTAGTGGCAGAACCTGGCATTGTCCATGTAATGCTGACTTTTCAGTCCTGCAGAGTGTAATAGTCACAGGGTCGTAAAGGTTTCCACACATGTTTAAAAGAAAATCTTGGATTTCAGCCAACATGTAGCAGTTTGGATTCTCTATGGGTAGCTTCTAGAGAGGGTGGTATAAGATGCTGAGCTGGTGAAGTTTAAACCACGGTGGACACAAGAAGTCAGAAATGCAGAGCATGTGGAACATACCAAGGAAAACCATAGAGAGTAGGATGAGACAGGCTCAGAGAAGCCATGTGCTTATAGTCAGCAAGACCCTAGGAGCTAACACTATACGACTAAGTTTTTCCGATGCCAGCCAGATCTAATGTTTGCCCAGATGGGCTTCCGTCTTGCCTTAGTCCCACCCCTTTTCCCCTTTGCCCTATTCTTCCTTTTTGGAATGGGAGTGCTTACTGTGTGCTATTACACATTAGGAGTGTATAACATGTTTATATCTTATTTTACTTTATGTTATAGGAGCTCAAAGCTAACAGTTTGTGTTCCTTGAATCTCAGAGGATGCTTTGAACTTGGATTTTTGAGAAATTCTGGAGCTATTGAGACTCTTAGAAAAGAATAAATGTGATATCCATTATGATACAAACATGAGCTTTTAGGGACCAAGGGTGGGAATGCTGTGGCTTAGATATGAAGTGTGCAAAGGCCCATGCATTAAGGGCTTGGTCCCTAGCGGTGGTGCTATTGGAAAGTGATGGGATCATGAGGATGCTGGCTTCATTAATGGATCAGTGTCTTGATGGGATCCTAGCTGATTGAATCATTAGAGGATGAGGCCCAGTTGGGGAAA